TATGTTATATACTATATACTATATACTATATACTATATATTATATACTATATGTTATATTTTATATACTATATGTTAAATGTTGTATACTATATTTTATATGTTATATACTATACGTTATACTATATACTATATATTATATGTTATAATATATAGTATATAACATATAACATATAATACTATATAGTATATGTTATATGTTATACTATAAATAATATATACTATAGACTATATATAATATATAGTATATAATATATACTGTATAATATATACTATATAAAATATAGTATAAAAAAATATTGATGTTAAAGGATAAGAATAAAACTTGTGCAAAGATATCAGCGATAGCCTAGCGCGGCCTAATGGTAACGAGGAGCCCCCAGAGATAACGGACTCACCTGAACCCGGGTTCGAGTCCCGAATCTGGGAACTTCGTTACCTTTTTTTCTTATTTATAAAACGGATTCCTAGAATCCGTTTTTCAAATAATTTTTTTGAAAAACGAATTTCGTGAATCCGTTTTTTAAATAATTTGTGTTGAAAAACGGATTCCATGAATCCGTTTTACAATTAAATATAAATCCACGCCAAGCCTTCTTCTCCCCTTACGCGAACAAAAATTTCACACAGAGCAGAGAGATTGAGAGATTTGAGCTCGGAAGAAAAAAAATTTCCGTCCGCTGTCCCCGCCGCTTTGCTTCCCCACTGCCACCGCGCGTCCTTCCCGTCTATTAGGTACATTTATTCTCTTAATGCTTTGATTTTTGTAATTTTTCAATAATTTCAAATTAGGGCAAAAATTAAGGTTTTTAATAATTCTTCGAGATATGGATTGAGATATGTTGATGGGTTGTTAGATTATGTTTGTTTGCGCAAATTGATGGGTTATTTGGATTATGTTAATGTTAGGGTTTTGTAGTTTGTTTGAAAATTTATGATTTGAAGGTGTTCGATAAAATGCCTCAAAGGGATTGTTGTACATATTGTTAACATATTGTGAATTTGTGATGATTGTGATGAGGTGAATTTATTTGTGAATTTATATAATATGTTTAGGGATTATTTTGTCGCAAGTTGAATTGTTGGAGTCGAACTGTCGATTACTGATTATTTTCGATTTATTGTATATATGATTTTTGAATTTGCGAATTTATTATTTACTTAATTTATTTGTGTTTTTAGGATATTTCTTTTTTTTTAATATGATTGTGTTATTGATTGTAGTATATAATGATTTAATTAATGTAGTATATAATTACTGTTTTTTTTTATTTGCAGAAAATGGAATCTTCGTCGTCCTCACAACCGCAGCGCTACAATGTACATCCCGGTCCGAGGGATGCGTCTGTTCTATATCTTTGGTACCGCCACCGGGCGAGTGCAGTATTCGAAGATATAGACAGATGTCGTGACAGCGTCGTTAAACCCCACTTTTCGACACTGAGTTTTGGAAGGCGTTGGACCACCAGCATCCCAGAGTTTGGGAGGTCATCGACAGGACGGGTTTTGGCCCGCTGTTTCTAATGGGCAGAATTATGATCGACAACAGCCTCATCACGTGTCTGGTGGAAAGGTGGCAACCGGAGACGCATACCTTCTACTTTGACTTCGGGGAGGCCGGCCACGATCACGCTGCAGGACATACAAGTCCTTTTGGGTCTCCCGATCAATGGAACGCCTTGTTGGGGAACGACTGAAGATCACACACCCCAAGACTGGCAAGAAATTTGTGAGGATGCGCTAGGGTTTGAGCTCTATGTCCAGGTAAATTTTTTCCTACAATTTTGTTTTATTTTTTTAATTTTATTTATGTTTACTCCATTTATTAATTTTTAATATATATAAACCACTCTCAGAAGGCCGACGAACCGCATCTAGATCCCAAGACTCGGGCCATTACAGGCCAGTGGTTGAGGACCTATGTGTTAGAAGCGGAGTGCAATAGAGAACTAACCGATGGAGACCAAACCAGTGACTTCGAACAGAGGGCGAGGGCCCTTATACTCTGGTGCATCGGTTTCTTCTTCTTCCCCGACCAAAGGGCCAATTGAGTGAACCTGTATTGGTTGCAGCATTTGTACGACATCGAAAAGATCAACACGTACAGCTGGGGTTCGGAGGTCCTGGCCGGAGTGTATAGAACGCTCTGCACGAGCTACAAGACCGGGGAAAAGTGGATCAAGAACTGTGTCCAATTGATTCAGGTAAATTTATTTACTTGTTATTTGAAAATTTATTGTTATTCTAATTTAGACTAATATCTAATAACAAATGAATATGTCGATGTGTGTAGGTTTGGGCATATGAAATTATCCCTCATTTCCTCGTATTCGCCCAAAAATGAGGGATATGAACTTTCAGAGAGTCGCTGGTTGTCCCTTAGGTGGAAAGTAATCAGATATATTTATATTTAATACTTAGATTATTTCCATTATCGAATTTTGTGATTACAAAGTATTTTTTTTTTCTGTGATTTAAGGTGGGTGGGTCGGAGGGACACGAGACACCTGGGCAAGGGAACAACCGCTATCCGGGATCAATTGACAGGGCTGACAGAGACGGATGTAAGATTATTATTAAGTCTTATTGATTATTATTTTTATTTGTTGTTTGTTTTTTAATTTTTTTTATAACTTAACTCCTAATTATTATTATTTTTTTTTATTACAGTTCGATTGGCTGCTCTATCAGCGGCACCTGCAAGGGGATGCTCTCCTGGCCCAGTGTACAGAAGGTTCACACCTCTGGATGTATAGGGGGTGGATCTTCAGTTGGAACGTCCGTGAACTCCACCTACCTGATAGGGTCCTCCGTCAGTTCGGGTGTCGGCATCCATCCCCGAACCTCTGATCATTACGACTGAGGCCCAATGGGAGACACACCACCGAGGCCAGGGAAAGACTAGGAGGGCAGTTTTTGATTTGGTCGACTTTCACGGATAGCTTGGGAATGCTTGGGTCGAACAAAGAGACCAAAATGTCGTCTCAGTCATCCCTGTGGAGCCATTCATTGAGACTGAGGCAGGTTACCTTGATTGGTTTCACAATACGTCTGTGAGACTACTCGGTGACCCTGCCAAGTACGCGGTGGCCCAACCGGACAGAGGCTTTCAGCCACTTGCCGAGCAGGGGAAATGCGATGTAAGTGTTAATAATTTGTGTTTTTTTTCTCTTAATATTATTATTATTATTATTATTATTATTATTATTATTATTATTATTATTTATTTTTATTTTTTTGTGTTTCATACTAATTACTTTGAATTTAATTTTCAGGCTGGCGCCATGGAGGGGGCTTATCACACGTTATCGAGTGTTAACCACCTATTTGATACTGTCCCTCCAGAGATGCAGAGAGGTCGCACAAGGAGCGTCGTCGAGCAAAGTTCTATCGCATGAGAGCTACATCCGATCCCAAATGACGCAATCACATCGGGCGAGGCATCAACCTGCTGCCCACATTGGTGGAGGTAGAAGATGACGTGACCGCGAACCCGCTGCCGACACCGGGCGAAGAAGAAGGTGAAAATTTTTTACTTAATAAAAAAAAATTATTTATTTTATTTATTTATTTTTTGTGATTTTTTTAAAAAAAATGATTTACTCAGGTGAAGAAGAAGAGGAATCTGCCACGCCCACAACATCGTCTTCTTCACGACAACCACGGTGTCGGATGGGCTCCCGACAGCGCCAACCTACGAATCGATATACTTCTAGTTAGTTTATGTTTTATTCAGGGAAATTTGTGGACATTTTAGTTTTTTTTCTTGGATTCTGTGTACTGATATTTGGACATATTATTTTGAATAAATTATTGTGGTTGACTTTTTGTATATAGTGTATGTTGGATTATTTTTGACGAATTGATTCATATTAGTTGGTTGAACAGGTTGTGATTTGTTGAACAGGTTGTGAAATGGATCCAAAACAATATTCTGCATTTTTCTGCAGAGAAATCGTATTACAGGAATATGTTTTATGAAAAATTAGGGCAAAATTAATTTTTTGGGAAAAAATTGATTTTACAAAGAAAACGTATTTTCAAAATACGTTTTATATTTCGAAAATTTATTTTCTGCAAAAAATTTATTTTTAAGAATTTTAAAATTAATTTTATTTATAAAACGTGTTTCGAGAATGCGTTTTATAATTAAAAAATAATTATAAAATTAATTTTAATTATGAAGCGTATTTCAATAATACGTTTTTATTTATTTTGACTTTAAAACGTATTTCGGATATACGTTTTGGTTTAATTTAATTAACTTAATTACGTTTGTTATGTTAATTAATTATTTTTAACTAAACCGTATTCGAGGAATACGTTTTACTATTGGAAACGTATTACCGGAATACGTTTTTCAATAGAAAACGTGTTCATAGAATACGTATTTTTAAATAAATAAATACTTCCTACATGGAGAGTGAATGTTAGAATGATCTTTAAAGAAACAAACAATTAAACTAATTAAAATAATTATTATATTTCATAAAGTTTAATCTCATACACATTATATTTTAAATTATTTGAATATTATAAAATTGAAGATATTTTAAAAAAATATTAGATGAGGGAAGAAAACTGTATAAAAATAAAATATAACACACACGTGTGGTTAAAAAGTTCATCATTTTGATAAATCGGGTATAAAACATGGGTATTATTTAAATAATCAACTTTATTATTTTTTAATTATTATTTGTATTTTTAATTTTTTATCATTCTAATATAATGATATAAATTTCTTTACTTCTTTATTTTAATAAAATATCTAACTTTCAAACATCCTTGTTGTTCACGGATGTTATATTAACTGCCAAATAAACTAATTAATATATCTAACGTTGACAAAAATAAATATATATTAAATAAAAAATAACACTTCATAAAAATATTTTTTAAAATGCAAAATAATATTTAAAAGATTATTTTTTATTAATTATTTATATATTTTTTTTTATTTCACAATAAAAATTTTAATTTTTTTTCAACTAAAGTAACTCTATATAACCAATACTTCCTAACCATCAATTCTTCATTTCAAATACCAAAGAGGATACAAAAAACCTTTCCCCGACTGTTCCGACAACATTGAAGTAAATAAAATCCGAGTGGGGAGGAAAATAACAAAGGAAAAATGAAACAAAACAATGCGAAATCATCCGTAAAGCCAATAAAATATAACATCATTAAATCCAAACAAAACATAGTATGCATGAGAACTATATTTCTCATTGAACTGCTGTGTCAAACAAACAATAAAACACACTTTTCGTCAATACCAAAATTTCTTTGCCCCTTGGGATGAAATAACGATTTCACTCTCCAGCCAGATGAAAGTTTCTTGCCAAAGTACCACAAGGTATTGTATTTCACCATCTACGGTTATTATTGCTATTGCCACGTCCCCTTCCTCTGGAAAAGATACCACCGCGGCCACCGGAAAACCGCCTGTCGGAAGAGCCACCACCGCGGCCACGGCCGCCATTGCCACCACCAAATCTTCCTCTCGATTGCTCTCTTTCTTGCAAAGGCGGCAAAGTCTTCATCACTTCCAGGCTTACACCAGCAGCATTTTGTTGGCCTGTGTCAGAAAATGCAAATTAGTTTGGAGGATCACAATTTCCAGTAATGTGATTTATCATTACTTACAGAAAGAGATGAAAGAGGCCTACAAGGGATTTGTGCAAGTATTACAAAACTGAGTCAAAATTCGAAAATCCCAAATAACTACATAAAATAAGAACGAACACTACACAATAAACTTTAAATAGGTACGAAAGGTAAACTTGCTTGGATACAAAAATATTAGCTCAAAATGGGTTTTTTTGGTTAACTGTGGATAATTTTGAAAAAGGTTGCATGGTTAGTTTTTTTTTTCCGAAACGATAGATGTACTATAAAAAGCACAAAAGTGCAAAGAGAACAAATTACAAGACCCCAACGGGGTAATCTAAGACCCCAACAGGGTAATGAGACAGGGGCCAACGGCCCAAACCAAAAACACGCCTAATAAAAGTACAGGAACAGAAAACTGAGAGGACACGCACGTGGCGGCCTAGAGAACTCCACAACCGAAAATAAAGGAATATAAATAACAGAGCCACTGCACAATGCCTAGCCTGTATTCATATCCAAACAAAGACAAACAAACACACAGTCCAACTAACGAACAAAAATCACAGAAAACAACAAACAAACACTAAGCACACTAAATAATATTTAAAATATTAAAGTAATATTTTGAATTTATATTAAAGTAATATTTAAAATAAAATAATTAAAGTTGATTTGATGTAAAAGTAGAAGAGAAATGATGTGAAGTGTTGTTAAATTATATGAAATGAATGAATAGTGAATTAAAGTTGATGTGATGTGTAAGAATGATTGATTGATATTATTTAATTATACTAATTACATTGATAATACTAAGAATAATGGGGTTGGTTTAAAATCTTGTTAGATTTTGAGTATGGATAGAGTTTATTTATAAACCATTTAGAGTTCATACACCAAAGGTAATTTGTAACTATGGAGGATACTGTGGAAGATATGTGCAAGATAACTGATAAATATTTTTTTTAAGATGACTAAAGTAAATATCACAATCGGTGAACAAAACAATATACAGCTCAATTGCTAACAAAATCCTGTTTATAAATAGGGCAGAAACGTACAACTTATTCTCTCTGGAAGTCTATTTTCAATATTGTTCACAAAATTTCACTGCAAATTAAATGTAAATCATAATGAACAACTAACCTTCGAGGAAAGCATCTAGATCATTGGCAGCCACATCAAACACAGCACCCTTGCCATCAGCAGTCAGGGAAAGACCCTTGATTGACTCAACTTTATCTTCCGGTAAAAACCTCCGCAGAATTCCATAAACAAAGCTGAAAAGACAATGTGTTACCAAAAAGAAGACAGACACACAGAGAGCCAAAAAACATCTGACACGAGATAATCAAACAAGTTCAACGATTTCTAAGATTTATAGGCCTCCCATATTGGCATACAGCTTGCTACACAGAAGTTGATCAAAAAGAAATTAAATTAAAATGGAATGAACACAAAACCACCAAAGTGCACTCACGAATATTGATATGCCAAAAGGAGAGTGCAATCTGAGGTGATTTGCAACTACTTACGATTGATTAAAAATGGGCCTTCCACACTCGAGTTGTACAGTCACACAATTCTCCATAGAAGTGAGCAGAGAACGAGTCTTAATCTCAGTATAGCCCTACATAACATAAATACAGAAAACCAAGTGTCAACTACCGAAGCATGTAACCCCATAATCCCAGCACAATAAATCAAAACTCATAAAAAGTCAAAACTTACAGCAGCCTTGGCCAGCGCCTTAGCAAGTAACTCGGTTGGGGTTAGATCAGACGAGTTTAGAAGCTCTTCAGCAGCAGTCATGAATACAGGAATCACACTGCAAGGTTTTTGAGTAGATAAGTATTAGATATATTACATAAAAGGTTAGGACCTAAAGAAAAGGAAAAAAGAAAAAGAAATACCCACAAAAATCAGAATAATACCTATCTGATATCTCGTTAATTTTATCTGCAGCTTCAGCACCAGCAGTTTTTGCAATATCAGCTGGCTGTGGAGCTGATATATGTTCAAACTTGACACCTGATTCCCTTTCTATCCTAGAGAAATTGGACTTCCGGGGATCATAAAGCATCACAGCAACACCACTTTTGCCTGATAAAAGCACAGAAAAATCAATCTGTCAAACAAACTCCAAGTCTCCAACCATATCTTCAACTTCAAATAAAAATACATCAGCAACTTACCGGCTCTCCCAGTTCTCCCAGACCGATGGATGTACGCCTCAACATCACGAGGCGGTTCACACTAAAGCATCAGAGGAGATGTTATCATTACAAATGTGATGTAAGAAAATCGCAAAANTAGCTGAATAATTAGAGGAGACAAGATGGATGTAAGAAAATTAGCATCCATTTTGGATTTTCTTACAAATGTGATGTAAGAAAATCCCAAATATCGGCCTGTAGGTCCACACACACCTGAATAATTAGCTGCACATCATCAATATCCAACCCTCGTGCTGCTACATTTGTGGCTACAAGAGTCGAAAATTTTCCAGATCTAAAGCCAGCTAGTGTAACCTGAAAACATGGAAGCATGGCTTTGTAGAGGATGAACCAACTAAAAACACAAGTGACCATTAAGAATCTCACCTCACGAGTAGCCTGCTGGATGTCACCATGCAAAGCACGGGCTCCAGGAAGTAATCCAGCAAGTGTTGAAGCAGAATCCTTGGTCTCGGTGAAAATAATAGTTCGACCGCCACTGGATTGATTTTTAACAAGGAAAACACGTCAGAAACCCAACAAAGCAAGAAGCCTGAAAATTGATTATAGAACAGATAAAGGCCAGACAGAAAAACCAACCTACTATAGCAGCGAATGATATCAGGAATAAGCTGAGATCTGGCCGTAGCAGAGCAAGGAAGAACAAGGTGCCTTACGCTGGTGCTGGCCTTCATTTTCTCATTACCAACAAGATCAGCAGTCTTCTTGTCTGGTTTTAAAAATTTAGCGGATATCTAGCATCAAAATATACATTTATTATTAGCACAAAACAGGACAGTGAGAAGGCAACAACAAATCACAGGATATTTCATACTGAATACATACTTGCTTAACCCATGGGGGCAAAGTGGCACTGAAAAGAAGTGTCTGGACCTTGCTGGCATCCTCTACCTTGCCTTGAGACATTAAGCAATGTAAAATTAGGTATAATCAACCAATAAGCAAGGACATTATGTGACACCCATAGAAACAAGGAATTAGAATGGTAATAAATATATATAGACAGATAGTGATGTAGGAAATTGGAATATCACTTGTGGTTGTCCACATTCGTTCGATAGGACAAATGAGCCTAATTTATAAGGCTAGTCGGCTACTCCTCCCATTACGAGATAGATTCTCACCTAGGTTCACGGTGCGCTTCACTGTTGTAGGTCCGCACCCCTTCCCCCGAATCTATGACTCTAACAAGTGAGAATATAGAGATGGAGAGAAACATACCTAGGATAAGTTCGACATCTTCAACAAAACCCATCCTCAACATTTCATCGGCCTCATCAAGAACACGAAACTTCAATTCTCTAAAGTCGATATTCCCCCTCTCAATGTGATCCTGCAAGATGATATCCAAAATATATGTTTGAGGCCACTGGGCATAGAAGATGCCAAAAAGTTAAGGCAAAAGGGACTAAATTTAAACAAGCACCTTAATGCGGCCAGGTGTGCCAATTATCAGGTCAACACCTCTTTTCAATTGATCGCGTTGTGGATTAAACGGAGCACCCCCATACAGGCAACATGAATTCAACCCCAAAGCTCCACCATACACTTCAAAGTCGGCAAACACCTAAGACAATAAAAAAAGAACAATAGCATAAAAAACTAAAACTTGTGAAGAGATGACTTAAAGATTTGAGGAAACTACTATGATGAATATCACATGCAACTCCACACTAAAATCATATAATACCTGAGTGGCCAATTCCCTAGTGGGTAAAAGTACAAGAACACTAGGCGCCCTTCCATATCCAGTCTTACGGGATGCTTTCGCTGGCCCATTTGTCAACGATTCCAATATAGGTAACACAAAAGCCAGCGTTTTACCCTGAAAAATATCCAAAACATCAATTTATACTAGATAAATGTAAATAAAAGAAGCTACAGAGGATAGAAGTTTAGGAATTAAAAAAAAATTAAAGACTTTGACAGGGCTAATCAACAATGATAACCACGGGACTAGCAAAAGTACAGCTGTTACAAGAACACATTAAAATGGGGAAACCCTAACCTGACCAGTCCGAGCTCTTCCAACCAAATCAGAACCATCGAGTATCATATCAAAGGTCATTGCTTGAATCGGAAACAGAGATTCAATTCCCTTCGCCTTCAGAGCATCCCTCAGCGGCTTTGAGATACGAAAATTCGAAACAGCATTCGGATTCTCCTCTTTTTCCTCCACTCCATTTTCCTCAAGCTTCATCTTCTTTTTCTTCTTTCCCGAATCATTCATCGGCTCGTCCATCTTGGAGTTGGAGCTAATGTCGCTCTTCTCCTCACCACCATCGTCTTCGCCGCGGCCAATCTCCAAAGCCTTTCGCTTCTTTTCTTTCCCCTTTTTGGGGACACTATTGGAATTAGAATCGTCTGGATCAGGCTCGGAGGCTATTTTCGTCTTTTTGGCAGACTTTTTCTCCTTTTTGATCTTTTTCTCAGCGGACTTGGCGTCCACCTCCATCTCCGCAAATTCAGCTGCTTTCTTCACTCTCTTGTTCTCGTCAGATAATTGAGATTCTGCTAACACAATGGAAGGCATGTCAACTATATAAGTTAGCGTAAACTACCACTCTATGCGTATTCAGTCTCCGGTGTGGCGGAGGGGGCGGCGGTTTGTTTTGCTCTGATGTTGCTCTCAAAATATTGGCAGTTACGCGCAGAGAAACCGCAGAGCCGAAAGAGGAGGTATAGAGGTTTAGGGTTTGCGAACTTATAGTCAATGGCGGTGGGCCAATTTGATCCGTTGGATGGCATGTGGGCTTAACATTTAACTTGGGGCCGTTGGATTTTAGATGATCCCAAATTCATGGTGGCTGGCTTCAAATCAAACACATGATATTGATATTTGCGCACAAATTATTGTAATTTAGGGTAGGAAACTCACCTCGTTGGATCGTGTGGTTGTTATCAATCTAACAATGTAGATCGCTTCGACCCGACCGGTTAGCTCAGATCCGATATATTCTTTTATTTTTTTAATTTTACCAATAAATGTTCCTCTTCGTTTTTCAGCGCGAGTCGCGACGTACGAAATAGCAATATTAAAAATAATTTTAATATGACTATAATGTGGGAAAAAAAATTAAAAATAATCTTATAATAAATATCTTATATTAAAATTAGTTTTACAAGTTAAATATTGGGAAATATGAACATGATTTACTCATTTTTCTTTGCGATAAGTCACACAATGGAATAACTTTTATATAAAAACAAAAAAAAATAATGTTGGGAAAACTCATAAATTTCAAATTGTGGTAGAAATCAACTGGTATAAATGTTGAATGAGTATTATTTTTTACCGTCATTATATGAGAAATATGGGCAGTGATTTTAAATATTAGTAATATTAAACAACAATTATCTATTGTATCATTTTAGTTAAATTGGTTCAAACTTAAATATTATTTAAATTAAAGAATAATCAAAATTATATAATTTTAATTAAATAAAGCAAAACAAAACATGATCCAAATTTTAAAAAAAAATGTGAGTATACTTACTGATATGGTCCAAGATGAGTGACTCCGGTCTTCCGAAGGGTTCTTCACGGTTATGGCGTAAGTGCGTTTAATTCGGTCCGGTCCAAGCTTGAGTGATCGCCGGTACCTGCAAATACGCCGGAATTGCTCCGGCGTAAGACCCTCCGACCGTCAAGTCAATATTTTGGAACAAGAGAATTGTAATGTCTATTGAATGTAATCGTGATTGTAATAAATGATGTCTTACCTTCCTCTATTAGCATTAACCGTATATATAGTGCTTAACTGCGTGTGACTATGAGTCAAGAGTCGGCCCTTAATCCGATCGACCTATGCGCAAGTGGTCGACCACTGGGCCGCTCGACCATGCCCATGTTCCTTGGTCGAGCAGGCTCGACCCCAGGCCATGTTACCCGGTTGGACCGCAAGTCGGCGGTCCTGGTTTTATGGGTCTTTATTCGGGCGGTATTAATATCCCTATCAACTACTCCCCCCTATTTACGATTATACGAAACGAAGGTCGGGTAGTCGTAAATATGAGCGGCTTGTTACCGTTTGAACCGACCCGAATCAAGCCACTTGACTCGGTATTTAAATGGTAATTATCTCGTTGTTTTGAGAGGCTCGGTTTCGCGCCTCAAACTCGCTTTGACCAATATATTTGAATTGTTTTTGACCCATGACATTTTCTTTTCCCAAGGCAATACTCACTTTCCCACTTTACCTACTAATATCTTGTGGTCCTTATCCACTCTCTCCCTTCTCTAGATTTTCCCCTCTTCTCTACTAATGGTTCATCTTCTTCTTCTCCCACAAGATTTTCCCCACTTCTTTCATCTATTCCTCCACCACAACCCTCTTTTCCTCTTTCACCATTTTTACTTTCTATGACCCTTCTTCCCTTCTAATCGACAACCGCCTCCTTCTCTCCTAATCGTCCACGGCGCGCGGGCCTCTCCCACGACCCGGTCGGTTCCTCCTCTAACCGCCCGAGTTCGAGCCACCACGACCATGGGTAAGTTCTTTTGGGTCTCCTTATTTGTTGGGTAATGGGTATGCACTTAGAATTCATGAGTCATGGGCTAGAATTTTTTGTTGATTGTGACGTATTGCTTGGATTTGCCCGGTCCTTGCGCTCTTGAATAATCGGACCCTACTTTTTTTTTTTTTTG